AGTTCCCGAGCCGAGGCAACTTTGGTGATGACGGACACGTGGCCTTAGGCACAAGTTAGGGTTTCCTAAATTCTTTCCAAAATAAAATATTTAGGTGGCGACTCTGTATCTGGCAAAGCAGTCCATGTTTGGCACTTCTTTCAAAAAATCTGTTTTCTTAAAACGATTTGCCGAATTTGGACTCTTTGATTCAGATTAGGAACCGTGGCGACAGAAAGTCGAGTCCGAGCTGTAGCGAGGTCCCCCCGCGGGCTTGTTACAACTGCTATATGTTCTGCATAAATGCGACACACCAAATTTTCGTGTCCCAACTAAGTCCAAAAAATTGTAAAAGTGGAATACATAATTCTAACTCTATTGAATGGACTACAAATAGATAACATAATGAAATTAAAGACAAAGGAAATTTTGTCTACCAATTACCTGGAATTGAAGCAGCAGTACAGGAAAAATGAAAGATCAAGAGAAAAGGCACCGTCTAGCTCAGATTGTGAATGAAGAACCTGGAAAAAAAATATTTTTGCGTGAGTTGGTGACAAGGATGAATTAGAGAACTAATGTATTCCTAAAGTAAAACTGAACCATCACAACCTATAGAGTAGATTTTGATTGTCATCCATAGGTGAGCATGGAAGACCATGAACATAGTGACTAAGATTTTGGATGATTGATAAGCTCCACATCTTTAGAGATTGTCACTTATACAGTTTGGGAGAGAAGCATTGTTGTCTTTTAAGGATAATAAAATTCTTCAATCTGCCAGCTATTCATTCTAAGCAAGACCCTAAAATTTGAAACTCAAAATTTATGCATAAGCTTATCATCAGTAAATTTCAAATTTACTAAAGTTAGAACCTGAAACAACTCGAAATTACAATGATGGTAACAATAGAAGAATTATGTTTGAGTGATTTACTGTCGTGAAGAGTATCAAAAAGCGATGCTATACTTTTCAATAGACTTCAAAAGACCAAATTTATAAAGTTCAAAGCTTGTACATCATTTTTTTTTTTTAGAATGAGATGGAATGCATGTTAAATGAACAACAGTAAAATAAAGATTCTTTTAAGGTCCTAACAAAAATGCAAACTCAAAATATAATTGAAACATGGTGCAGAAGTAAAATTTTTCCTTCCATTCAGGTACTTGTAGAACACAAGTGCAAGGATTCTATTGTTTACTTAAACATGGATGAATTATTGTGGGAACAAGTAGAATTTTAGAAGAATGGCAGTTGATTATGCATGAATTGAGCTCAGGGTGAGTAAAAACAAGGGAACAAACTTGATACAGAAACTTGAAACCAAACAGTCATCAATAGCCACCCCTTTGACAGAATATTTGCTAAACCTAGAAAAAATTCATCTCTTATGCTTTGTTTGTTTTGGCCGAAAATGCTTTTTCAAAAAATGTTTATCACATTTTTGGTGGTTAGTATGATAGAAAATGAAAGTTAAATGGAAAATGTTTTCTATGGTCAATAAAAAAATAAGCCTTTTGAGTGAAAAATGCTTTATGGAAAAATGTTTTCTATGGAAAAATGTTTGTCATATTTTTTCCCGGAGTGTAAAACATTTTTTGGTCTAAAGTCTTGCCGAAGGTGAAATTTTTTCACCACCACCACCATTGTTGCCGCCACCCCCCCACTCCAACTAATGCCACCACTAATGCAACCACTAGTACATTAGTTTCAAGTTGCAATCAAACATAGGAGATCATTTTCTAGAGAAAACATTTTATAGAAAAATAGGTTGCGTTTGGTTTACTTTTGGAATTGTGATTCTAATCAAAAAATTTCAAAACTCATAACTAAACACACCAGCTATTCATTCTAAGCAAGACCCTAAAATTTAAAACTCAAAATTTATGCATAAGCTTATCATCAGTAAATTTCAAATTTACTAAAGCTAGAACCTGAAACAACTCGAAATTATAATGATTGTAACAATAGGAGAATTATGTTTGAGTGAGTTACTGTCGTGAAGAGTACCAAAAAGTGATGCTATACTTTTCAATAGACTTCAAAAAACCAGATTTATAAAGTTCAAAGCTTGTACATCATTTTTTTTTTTTTTCAGAATGAGATGGAATGCATGTTAAATGCACAATAGTAAAATAAAGATTCTCTTATGGTCCTAACAAAAATGCAAACTCGAAATATGACTGAAACATGGTGCAGAAGTAAAATTTTTGCTTCCATTCAGGTACTTGTAGAACAAAAGTGCAAGGATTCTATTGTTTACTTAAACATGGATAAATTAATGTGGGAACAAGTAGAATTTTAGAAAAATGGCAGTTGATTATGCATGAATTGAGCTCAGGGTGATTAAAAACTGAGGAACAAACTTGATACATAAACTTGAAACCAAACAATCATCAATAGCCACCCCTTTGATAGAATATTTGCTAAACCTAGAAAAAATTCATCTCTTATGCTTTGTTTGTTTTGGCCGAAAATGCTTTTTCGAAAAATGTTTGTCACATTGTTTGGCGCTTAGTATGATAGAAAATGAAAGTTAAATGGAAAATGTTTTCTATGGTCAATAAAAAAATAAGCCTTTTGAGTGAAAAATGCTTTATGGAAAAATGTTTTCTATGGAAAAATGTTTGTCATATTTTTTCCCGGAGTGTAAAACATTTTTTGGTCTAAAGTCTTGCCAACACTACCACACTACCACCACCACCACCATTGTTGCCGCCACCCCCCCACTCCAACTAATGCCACCACTAATGCAACCACTAGTACATTAGTTTCAAGTTGCAATCAAACATAGGAGATCATTTTGTAGAGAAAACATTTTATAGAAAAATAGGTTGCGTTTGGTTTACTTTTGGAATTGTGATTCTAATCAAAAAATTTCAAAACTCATAACTAAACACACAACTCAAAACTCAATTCAAAAACTATTTTTAAAATTCATAACACACAATTCAAACCTCTTTTCAAAAGTCATAACCAAACTCTTTTCAAAACGAATTGGGTACTTTTTCCTTCAGCACCTATGAATAATACAAGATAAAATAACAAATGAGAATGAAAATTAAGAGAAAAGGAAATATTTGAAAGGAAAAAACAAAGAATGAATTGAAAAACAGAGCAGTGTGTTTAATAATAATTAATCAGTAATGTATTGGTAATTTCAACATTCACAACAAACTGAAACTCTCTTACGATCCAAAAGAAGTAGATAGTAAACTGTGAGTTGTGATAAAATCTGAGATGATATTGGTAATGAGAAAATAAATAAATAAAAATGGTATGACCGATGTTGTGTTTGTTTGTTTGTACCTTGCAGTTGGCCTATGATCTAGTAGAATAAATAATTGACTATTTTTTAAAGAGCCTATGACCTAGTAGAATAAATATATCTAAAGCTAAGACTCTCATTCCAAACAATTTTTAATATTTCATGTTTTGGAGTTTGTCGGAAGATTTTTGGAGTGGCAAAGTAGCGAGGATTTCTCGCTAGTGTCTGCTAAGATACTTTAGTCTTTGGTCAACCCCATCCGGAAAAGAACCCGATTTTATCAAAGATTAGAGAACTATTTGTTACTATTAGATGAACTTCCCCTTATGTTTTCTTCTTATTGTTTTCCATATCGCCCACTTCATGACAAGTCTAAACAAATCAACATGTAAATTTAAACAAACAAACAGAAAAACTCTATACGGTATGCCAATTTCTAATAGTTTCCTATATTTTTTTGAATATTTGCCTTGGATTTGAATTCTAAATAATACTCCAAGTAGGGTAGATGGCTTCTCAACTCCCCTTTAATAAAAGAAGCCTAAATCCCTCCAACAACTAGAACAGATTGCCCACATGGATTTTGACAAGATTACGTGTGGCTTTGTAACTGTCAAATGTAATCCAGCATGCAAGCAAGATGGTTTAAAAATACAACTTGATACTAAAAAAAAAATCCCTTCTTACAAGGCATGGAAGTCTTAATGATCAAAAGTCTTGCATGACAATGTTCAGTAGGGAGGTGTTTACAATTGTAGTCTTAGGAAAGGACTTTATTCTCAATTTTCTTCATATATCTCTTGCTCCTTTATTACTTATGAGAGCTTTCGCCATGACTGGACAATAGTATATGAATATATTCTGAAAAGAAATTAAAAAAAAAAAAACTCACGACAATTCTAAAACTCAAAAAATAGCGACCCATTGCATTCAAAATTGTAGCTCTCCCCAAAGCCAAGACGCATTCAGTTAAATCAAAGCAGCCAAAGTCTTTTATCAAGCATAATTTTGGCATACCTTGAAAAGAGGCACAAAATCTCGCAATGCAGCTTAGACAGTAAGTATGAATGCATCCTAAAGTTTGTTTCCACAACAACAAAGCCCTGGAGAGCAAAAGGGTGACAACAACAATAGTTAGTAGGATTCACTATTTAAACTGTCCACATAGGCTGTGTTTAGTTTAGTTTTGAAAATAATTTTGAAACACAAGATTGAAAAGAGTTTTCAAAATTTGAAAATTTATTTGGTTGTATATTTTGAAATTAGTTTTGTAGGTTTGTGGTTTGGAATGATTTGAAATTTTTTTGTAGTTGAATAGATGGGTGTGAGAGAAAAAGTGATTGATTGATGTGTAGGATGCAAGAGAATGAGAGAAGAGATAGAAAAAGTGATTGAAAATAATTTTGAGAAAATTGTAAACCAAACAAATTTTGGGTTTTGAGCTCTTGAAAATTGTTTTCAAAACTAAACCAAACAAGTCATATTTTCTATATTTTTTTTTTCACAGAAAACTGAGAAAATATAGCACACTTTTACAAGCTGAACAACAAAAAGAGCATAGTATTCAAAGTCACAACTACATGTCTGTAAGTAGAGTCAGGGTAAAAATAAAATAAAAATGAGAATGAAATTCATCCATTCAGTAGAGGTATATAGATAAAAAAGGAAAAGGAAATATTTGAAAGAAAAAGAAAAGAAATGAATGTAAAAACATTGTTGTGTGTTGATACAGGTGAAAAATAGAAGCTATAAATCAGAATTATTAGAGCTGATGTGGAGATGTAGTTGAAGACACAAAATGATCAATTTGAGTTGATCAAACCATAGTAGCAGGAAACTCTTAATTTGGTGATGTTTCTTACTAACTATGACGCACAGGTATGAGTACGAATACTGGTACTCGTACAATACGTGTATGCTGATATGGTAAAATCCAAAGAAAGTAGGGTACGCGTACGACTTGGTACACTTGTAAAAAAAATATTTATTTTTAATTTAGAGTAATATAGAAATTAACTAAATGGTTTAATTTGTTAAGATCCAACATATAATTAACATTTAATGCCAAAAATAAACGTATAAATCAAAATTAAATGTCAATATATTAAATAATGTACAAACAATAGTTTAATTTTAAAATCATACCAACCATAAAGCTAAAAATAAAAAAAAATTCCAGTGAAATGAGTTTTATCTATGTAGTAAAAGAATATATTATTTTAATTAAGGTACAGTACGGCTTGGGTATATACTAGGTACGTCTGGGTATGTCAAAAATTAAGAAGAAAAAATTTAGGTACGTGTTTTGTGTACCTGGTACGTATGCAGAAGTATCATGCGAGATACAGTACAGGTACGACATGCTTTTCGAAATACCCATACTTCATAGCTTACTAAGAAACGCAATTCCACGCTTTCAAATAAGAAACTAGCAAGAAACTCGCTCATTTCTAGGAATAAACTCGCTTTCAAGTGAGATCGAATCTCTCAAGCATACAAATCTTAAAGAAATAAAAGAAAAACAACTCAAACTTATTTTAGTACTTTCTATTTACATAATATTTATTTATACTTAATAAAGACAATTTGTAGTTGATATCAATCTCCAACAAAAATTCATATTTTAACAAACATATTACAACTAACTAAATAGAAAAAAAAAATAATTTTTAGAATATAATTATATATTTAATAATTTAATATATAAAATATATACATGCTCCAATATAGGTATGATAGATTTTGTGTTTGCTTGTTTGTAAGTTGAAAAGTTGTTTGATAAAAATTTAAATGTTAAACTAAAATAAATTATTTGATATGTATAAGATCAAATTTAAAATTCAAAGTTTAAATTTAAAATTTATTATTTTTAATTGTACTTTTTTAATTTTTATATTGTGATGGTAGAGGATGCAAATATAAATAAATCCTCATTTGTGATAAAAATCTGAAATTGGTAATGATAATATAAATAAATAAATAAAAATGGTGGGACAGATTTTGTGTTTGTTTGTTTGTTTATACCTTGCAGGTGGCTGCTTATACTTCCAAATATAGTACAGGAATGTATTGGATGATGGGCCAATATTGTTTCCCCTTTTCACACTTCTGTTTCAGTATTGGATTACATCCGCTGATCTCCAGTGACAAAAGCGAGGGAGGGAAGCCTTGTTCTGGAAAGGTCGCAAGCTCAGGGCAGTCATAGATCCATAGATGCAAAAGAGAGGAAGGCAACCCTTCCTTTGGAAAGGACGCGAGCCTAGGGCAACTCGAGATATCAAGTCTTTCAAGAGAGGTGAGGTTTTGAAACTCCTCATAAGAGAGTCTTTCCAGATTTGGGAAATGTTGGATGGTCAAATTGATGAGAGAGGTGGGCAGGAACATCCCTTCTTCTGGAAAGGACACCGTATCTCCCCACGGCCAACCTCCGCCTTCAAGGTGGAGTGTTGAAAGAGAAGAGAGTTTGTGCAAACCCCACTCTAATGGAGATGGAGGCGGAACTGGAAGTTGACCCACGTCGTCCACTCTGAACCTCCCGATTGAAAGTGAAGTGATGTTGGTGGGGAAACTCCCTTCCTTCACAAAGTAGGAGACCATTTCTGCTCTGCAATCAACTAAACACAGCTTTTGAAGCGAAGTGCGTTGGTTGATGTTGTTGTTCTCATCACGACCACCAAGTGACAGGGGCTCCAGATTATAACAATAGTATATCCGCAATTGACTGAGATTCCTGAGATTATTGACTTCAGGTAAAGATTTGAGACTGCTGCAATACTCAATTGCAATAGTTTCAAGAGATGGACAATCAATTTTGATCCCTTTCTCTGCAAAAAGTGACTCCAGATTGCTGCAATGCACAATCCCAAGTTGTTTTAGTGTGGATGGTAGCCCACCTCTTGACAATAAATATGTGAGTGATGCACAGTAAGAAACCTTCAACTCTTGCAGATTATTGAGTGTCATCAACTCGGGTAGGGACTCCAAAGCATCACACCCTGAAACCCCAAGTTCTCTCAGCATAGATGGCAAACCTTTCATTGGAAAAGAGATCAGACTTGCACAATTGCAGATTCTAAGCACCCCAAGAGATGTGTATGTGTGCAGATCTTGTGGCAGTTTCTTCAGTATTCCACACCAATAAATTGTTAAACACTCCAGTCTCGTCATGCAAGGCAGCCCCTCATGTTGCTGCTTTTTCAAACCTTCTCCTTTTTTTTCTTGCTCTTCTTCAAACAAGCAAACGAGTTTGGGGCAATGAGAAATATTCAAATGGCAGAGAGAAGGGAGACATACTTGTATTCTCACCTTATTCTGCCACAATGTTGTGAGTTCTTGGCAGTTACTAATGTCCAATTTCTCGAGTCCCGTCAAATCTCGAGTAAACCATGTCGGTAGGAACGCCAGTTTTTCAACATGAGAAATGCTCAAAGCAGTTATTGAAGTCAAATGCTTAGACATTTCATTAGCCAGTAACTTTTCATCAGTTGTGCTTGGATTGCAGAGGGAGTCCAGAACTGTAACATGGCTAATATTGAAGGAGAGGGAACCAAGTTCAATCATGTTTTTCGTCCCTAAGAGTGCTGGAAGGCTTGGGAGCATAACATTATTCATTGACAAGGACGTAAGTGATGGTTGAATGAGGCTCGAAACATCAATCAACAACTGCGGACAATCATCAATTTTGAGAGAATTGAGACAAGGAAGATCAGTTGGTAATCTTCCAACAAGTTTGGGACAATTTATGGTGGAAAGTTCACTGAGATGACCGAACGGCTAAACTCCCTCTGTTTCAAAGGCAGACCAATCCTCCCATTCTGACATAAACTCAAAGCTCAATCTCTCTAGAGAGGGGAAAGGTTTGGTACCACACTGCTGACCCAAGTGCTTTATTGCACTCATTCCTTCAATGTAAAGGTCTTTAAGCAAGGGTAGTTGTCCAAGTGGTGGCAAAGATTTGCAACATTTGCTACCTTTTAATAGCATGAACACCATTTTGGAGAATGAAACCTCTCCAACCCAGTTTGGAAATTTTGTACTGCCATACCCGCTGATGGTGAGTCGTTCCAACAATTTGAAAGGTCTCATCACATCAAGGACATCCCTCTCAACTATGTCATTGTGTGAACTATGAGATTCATCCCATTCTAGTGATAACTCTTTTAAATCCTCCTTAGAAACTAAATTGGCATCCACCGCATCCTTAACACCACTGACATTCTCCATTCTTGATATGTGTATTGCCCTTCGAATGTGTGATAGGTTTTTCAACTCTCCTATTTTACGCCCACAATCTTTACCCACCATAAAATTTGACAATGTTTGGAGATTAATTAATTTACCTATATGTAGTGACATCTCTTCTGATGATGGAATATGCACGCCAGTCATGTCAAAATGGCGCAAGTTCACTAGCCTCCCCATGTTTAGAGGCAACTTCTGAAGTTCAACACAAAATTTCAAAAACAAGACTTGTAAATTGTAGAGAGTTACCACCGAATCGGGTAACTTCCTAATTTTAGAATGGGATACATCAAGGTACCGTAGATGCTTTAGATCTCCAATGGAATCTGGTAATTCATATATCCCAGAACAACACAAACGCAACTCACGTAAGTACTTTAACATTGGCAACAGATCATGAATCAAGTACCTTGTTTTGTAGTTGAAGAATCTACTTGGCAAAAACTCTAAGAAGGTTTGTAAGCGTCTAGCATCATCGAAAGCTTTGAATTTTTTGATTCCTTCATATTCACTAGCAACATAAGATGAATGTCGAGCTTTGTCTGAAATCTTGTTCTGCTTGCCACCCTCTGAATTATTCTCCAACCTAAAACAGATGTCCCCTGCAACTGCTTGAGCCAAATCATTGATGAGGTCATGCATTATGAATAGCAATTTATCATGCCTTGACAATTGGAAAAATGACCTAGACACCAATTCATGAAAATACCTGCGGCCTACATCTTCTATTTGTTCTCCACCTTCTGGGTGTTCAATTGAACCTTCTGCCATCCATAACAAGACTAATTCATCCTCCTCAAATTCGTAATCCTTTGGGACAATTGCACAATAACCAAAGCACCTCTTCAAATGGGATGGGAGATGATGATAGCTCAATTTAGTGATAGGAGAATGTGGCTTTCCCCGTATGATTTATCCCATATATTGCTAGTTAGTACCATTTTCCATTCATGCTCATTTTGGTTACATTGTAATAAGCCACCGAGGGCCCTTGCTGCCAGTGGCAAGCCTCCGCACTTGGCAACAATTTGCCTACCAATTGATTCCAATTCTGGATGTTCACTAATATTTATATTCTTGAATGCATGTTGGGCAAAGATTGACCAGCAATCATCAAGTGATAACTCTTTCAAATCGTGGTGTTCAATTGACCCCCCCACCTGTTGTGCAACAGTCGCGATTCGCGTTGTCACAATGATTTTACTTCCATGTGCTCCAGCTCGAAACGGAGATTGTAGTGAACTCCACTCTTCACCTCTATGGTTCCACACATCATCTAGGACAAGCAAAAACTTTTTTCCTGCCAGTGTGTCCTCAAGTTTACGTTGAAGGGCATTTAACTCTGTCAAATTGCATGAATCGAGAGTGAATGACTCCAGAATTGCCTTTGTTATTCTCTTAACGTCAAACTCGTCAGATACACAAACCCACGCTTTCAGATCGAACTGGTTTTTGACACCATTATCATCGCAAATGAATTCATCCAAAATTGCCTTTGTTATTCTCTTAATGTCAAACTCGTCAGATACACAAACCCACGCTTTCAGATCGAAATGGCTTTTGACACCATTATCATCGCAAATGAGTTGAGCCAGAGTAGTCTTGCCAACCCCACCCATGCCCACGATGGGAATGACATCGACTTTGTTTTGAGTTGCTGCATCTCTGAGAAGCAATTCAATAATCTGTTTTTTCTTTTCTTCTCTGCCATAAACACAAGGCTCTTTCACCAAATATGTAGTTTCTGGTCTCTGCCACACATTTGTAGACTTCATCCCCCCAATAGCCTTTTTGACCAAACCAAGTTCCTTAATTCTTGTAGTAACATCTTGTAACTGACCATTGATCTCCTTCAACTTGGACTCAATTGCGAAATTGAATGAAATTGTACTTGGAGTAAAACCAGTGCAACAAGTAGAAAGGAGGAATCGTCGTACCTTCCTACATGTGTTGGCCTCACCAACATCAACATCAGCATCAGTCTCTGCCCTGATCAGCTTCTTGTGTAGAGCTTCAGTGGCAAACTCGTCCAGCACATCGTCCGCATCATAAGCCAAATGCTGGAGCTCTTTCAGCCACTTATTGACAGCCCTGTCGGATATCTGCTTCTCCTCTGCATCAGCAAGAACATCGTTTATATCTTCAAATGACTTCTTCAGCTTCTTGATGGAAGTGTCGACACCCTCACGACGCGCCAAGTTGATTAAATCAGAGAACAACAACTTGTCAATCACAGCTTGAAGCAGCGGAGAGATAAAGATCCCCACCACATCCATGTCTACTCGTCTTTGTTGTGAAAGAGCCCAGGAAGGAATGTATGAAACAAAGCAATATGAGAGAGAGAGAGAGAGAGAGAGAGAGAGAGAGAGAGAGTTGAGAGCAA